TCATTATAGAACATCTCATTGACTTAGAGTCGAAATATTCTAAACTTTACAACAAACACAAAAAGTTGAAAGAAAACAAAAACAAATGGCATATGATAATTATGAAGATGTTGACGACACAACTGTTCCTGCAGGTGAGGTAAAGTCAGAGGAACCGAAAAGTGACGAAAAACCAATAGAAGAAGGTAGCCAAAAACTGAAGATAAACCAAAACCAAAGTTTAGTTTCCAAACTAAACCAAGTCAACCTTCATTAGCTGGTATGGGTTGGCGTCAAAGACTTCTGGTAGCTGGTGGTTATGTAAAGTAAAGAAAAAAATATTTTTTATTTTTATAAAATGCCCCCGTATAGAATGGATAGAAGGTCTGCTAGAATAAAAGCAGAGTTTGAAAGATATGGTTGGAGAGTTTCAAAGAAGTTTAAATATAGGAAGGAAGACCCATAAAAGTCTATGAAAATTTCTGGTCTTCGCTACGAAATGGATTTGGAAACAGCACGTGCCAATTATCCAAACAGACTAGAGAGGTTAGAAGAAGAACGTCTTATGGACATGCCTTCGATGTTAGTGAACCTCAAGTTGAAGACACGACGGCTTTGCCCGATTCTACTGGAAAACATGACGAATGCTCTTCTTTATATCGCTTATTTAAAACCCTTTACACCGCCTCGTAAACTGCTCTCTAAAAATGTCAATTTCAGTTAAACAGGCTACAATTGTTTTCTGCTTTCCAGTATATGCGATGGCCCGGCCATCATCTGTTATTTCTGAGACGGAATTCTGAAAGAGGGAATACCATCCATGTTCTATTACATCTCAGAAAATGATCGAATTAACCGAAAAAGTTGGACGAATTATCTCGAGGTTCGTATTATTGGTACAAAAAACTATACGTCTAAGTCTCGCTACAGTTCATAGAGTAAGAATGTACTTGCCACGCTTAATTTTGTTTTGTTTCCCCATTTTGTCACTTTTTTGATTATGAGAATTGACAAAAATTGGAAAAATCTCACTTAAAGAAAGAATTCCCATCATAAACAGAGTTATTTCTAAGGACTTCTGTCCTCTTTTTGAATTACACTCCAAATAACACATTTGAGTATCGTAGATAATCAAAAAATGAAATGATGAAAAACATATAATCTCTCATTTCGACAAGGAATTATGCTATTGCTTTATCTTTGTATTGGTGTAGACAAATGATAGTGTGGAAACACAAAAGTGATAATAGTGCTACGAATACAGTCACTAAGAATAAGCTTATGTATAAGTGTTTATATAATTTGTTACAAATTTTGCATAAAATTTTTTCATCAATGCTAAGGATAAGCATTTAGAAGAAAGGTAAAACACATGAGAAGATAATTAATGGATTAGATCCAAAAAAAAACTTGATACGCTTTATTTATAAATCAATTAAACAATTTGATTTTGGAAATTCAAAGATATCTCCGATGTTACAAGATATTCAAAATATCAACAATTACATTTAGTTGCGCTGTTTTATGAATTTATATATCTCATGTTATTGTCCTAACTACTCATTTTTGAATTGTTCCAGAGAAGAAATTTGCACTACTAAAAAAAGTACATTTTTATTGGCGAATGAAAAGGAAATATTGGATACATAAAACATTCGTCACGTCAACCTAGTACCTATAAACTTTTAATCACAGGAAATTATGTGTTTGATCTGCATGTCAAATGAAGGAATTTGTAAAACATACATATCAGCTTAACTTGCCATTATCTAAACGCAGTCTTTCAAGCGTATTTGTAAGTCCAAATGTAACGAAAATGGAATATACGCGTCCGATGTATTCCAAAAATATTACAACAATTCATGTCGAAGGATGTGTTACGCAATTTGTCGAAAGGAAAAAACCCGAAAATGGAAAGGGCTTATTCGCGATACAGTGAAAGAAGAAACGAGGCAAGCTGGAAGATCATCTGTTATGTTTCATGAGGACGGAATCTGACAGAGGGAAACCTCCAATGTTCTATTATCATCCAGAAAAGTGTCGGAAATTACCGAGTTGACACTTTAGTTACAAAATTCAGCAAGTAATTACGAGGGTCCTCTCTACCATTCTGGATGATACACAAAATAATCGTGCCTCTATATTTTACGCCAAAAAGACAATATGGGATAACCAATACGCTCAGAACGGAATTACTAAATTTGTTAATCCAAAAATAACTTACCCAGTTACTTCAGGAGAAGATACTACTTTACTTATCTTAAGTCCTTGTCCATTCGCCTGACCACAGGTTCTTTTGCAATGGCCTGCTCCGCCGATAAGTGTCCGGCGAATCCATTGTTAAATGTATTCTCCCTCTCTCAACGAAGCATACGCTTGTAAACTCTTGTCTCTTTTTGTGATTATGAAGGGAGAGATTTACAAGCGTATGCTTCGTTGGAGGAGGAGATATTAACAATGATTCGCCACTTATCGCGATAGCCATCAAAACCTTGTCAGCGAATGGCAAGAGCTTAGTAAAGTAATGTTCTTCTCTTGTAGTAACTGGTATTTTTGTAACATTGAAGTTTAATTCGTCTGAAATTTGATAAAACTCCATTTTTTCTGTAAAAAAGCACGATGATTTTTCATCAAATGGTAGACCCTCGTGAATTACTTGCTGAATTTGTACTAAAGTGTCAACTTCGGTTAATTCGACATTTTCTGAGATGTAATAGAACATTGGAGGTATTCCCTCTTCAGATTCCGTCTCAGAAACATAACAGATGATGGCGCCATCCATATACTGGAAAGCAGAAAACAATTTGTAGCCTGTAACTGAAATTGACTTTTTAGAGAGCAGTTCGAGGGTGTAAGGGTTGTAATAAGCGATAATATTTCCTCCTTCTATCCTACATAATGTCTTTCCTGGAGTAATAAAAGATAATAAAACAAAATTCGTTGGTTTATCAACTTTCGTTATCCTCCAGTTGTTAATATCGAAAGATGAAAGAGATCCGTGCGGGCAAGATGTTATTAAAAGGCTATCTATCATGAAAAGGTTGGTTGGGTTAATTCCTAACGGTTTTAACTCAAGAACGTGGAGAACTTTGAATAGAGCTTCTTTTCTATCGAATATGTAGTGGACTATATCGTTTTTTCTTAACGCAAAAAAGGTATCTATTCCATTTTCGGGTTTTCCTTTGACAATTGCGTACACTTTCGACATGAATTGTTGTAATATTTTTGGATACATCGAGCGGTATATTCCATTTTCTAATTTGACTTCAAATACTTGAAGATGCGTTAAATAATTAATGATTGTATATTCAATTCCTTCATTTACAGCGTCAAACCAATTTCCTGTGATAAAATTTATAGGATAGGTTGACGGACGAATGGTTTTATGTATCCAATATTTCTTTTCCATTCGCCCAATAAAAATGTCACTTTTTTAGTAGTGCAAATTTCTTCTCTGGAACAATTCAAAAATGAGTAATAGGACAATAACATGATAATATTAAACACAACTAAAGTCAAGTTGATATTGATAGCTTAGCATGGATATCTTTGAATTTCAAATCAAATTTTTATTATATAAAGCGTATCAAGTTTTTTTTGGAATCAATCCATTTAAGTATTCTTCATGTTTTACTTATCTTCTAAATGCTTATCCTTAGATATGAAAAATTTATGAAAATAACAAATTTTAACATTATAATAAGCTTATTATTAGTGACTGTATAGTAGCCAGTATCACTTGTGTTTACACTATATTCTCAACTCAATACAAAGATAAGAATAGCATAATTTTGTGAAATGAGATTATATCAATTTCATTTTTGATATATCTAGATACTAAAATGTGTTATTTGGAGTGTATTAAGAGGCAGAAGCTTAGAAATAACTCTGTTGGATTCTTTTTAAGTGAGATTTCATATTTTGTCAATTTATAATCAAAAAAGTGACAAAATGGGGAAAAAACAAAATAAGCGTGCAGTCATCTTCTATGAACTGCCAGCAGATTTAGACATTGTTTTATTCAAATACGAACTCGAGAAATTCGGAGAAATTCAGTTTTTCGATATGCCAAGAAATTCAGAAGGGAAATGGGACAGAACATGCATTGTTGCTTATCTTTTTGATACAGATAACGAAAAACTCCTTTGTAATGTACCTAGAGTAGTATTTTGCGGCGTTCATCTTAAGGCAAGATTTGGCTATCACCAATTCTAAGAATATCATTCGATTGATATCAAATACGATTTCATATCTTTGTTGTTAATAAATAGATTGTTTATTTACGTTAGTTTTATTTGTATTTTGTTACTTACAAAATGTTATCACTTAATCTGAATACTTACAAGAACATTATATAAGCTTTGACATTCTTGTATATGAGTACATGTTCATACATAAAATTTACAAAGAGTTACTTGATAAGTTTATCGCTCTCGGTGCAGAAATGAACAAGGAAAAATCTGATGAAACCAATCAAGATCAGATTTTCAACATTTCCGAATCTATTTCTAAAGTACCAGCTTATTTCCAAGTAATGCGTCCAGGACGTAAATATTTGGATCAATACAAACTTTCCTTCCTTGACCAAAATACAGGACGTGAGACAGAAAAAGGAATTGCATTTATTTTCAACGATATCCTTATTTTAGTACAAGATTTCCAGACAGGAAATCACAGTTCCAAGTTAGTATTCTGCGATGCAATTCCAATCTCATCGATCAAGTTCAGAGCCTGTTCATTCAATCAATTCGCAGATAAGGCCTGCCTCCTTAGAACAGATACTTCTGCTTACAATTTGTTGATGAAGGAATCAAAGGAAAGAGACGCTTTCATCAACTTCGTCAAGAAACAAAAGAAGAAAATTTCTCACAGAATTAAAGATCAAACTAAGAATGGAACAACTCACATGCAATCTATTATATCAGAGATTAGCAGTTCCTACAAAGAACCTCAAAAGATTACAAGCAGATCTAAAATGCTTGCATCTTGGTAATTTTTCATCAGTTTTGTAATTGAAAACAAAGTAATTAATCAGTTAATATGATTTTTCTCTTTGTCATTATATATGTTTAATTAAATAAGTTTGTTTTATATTGAATAAACCAATTTCAATTTGATTCATGTTATTTTTTAAAAATCATACCATATTTTAACTCAAAAGGCTCAAAATATCCTATTACATCATTTCATTAACTATAAATTTAAAAAAACCGATGTTCTCTAAAGAGTTTGCAGAGAAACGATTATTTTTCTTTCAATTGCTTTTTTTGCTGATTTTCATGAATTAGGTAGAATGAAATGTGTTGTTTTATAGAGCCAAAACATGTATATTATATCATGAAGTTACAATATATATACAAGTTCATATAATAACTAAATATATACAAATAAGGTGTATTGTTTAGTCAAATAAGTAAATAAAATAAAAATCTTAATGGAATCAATAGCTTATCTCTTTTTTGGTGCTGCACCTCTTTCTACCTTTTGATTGATTTTAGATGGTCTATTTGCTTTGAAGCGTTGATCTGCATGACCATCCATCCTCTTTCTTCCTACAGACTTGCCACCAACTGTTGCTGTTTCTCCAGGCTTGAGGTTTGCAAAGCTCGAAATGAAAAATGATTTAGATTAGTCGATATAAAGTTCTCAGAAAAAATAATATGGTAAACATTTTTCAGAAAAATTCTTGACAACGATTCGCAACAGAAAATATGAGTTATTACTTATATGATTTAAGAAGTTAAAAACCCTTACATTGGTTACAATCTCATTTCCTAATGATTTGAAAAGGAAAGTCAAAATTTATTTAGAATTTTGGGGAATATTCAAATATTTTTTACCATACGTTTTGCGCAGGATATGTACAAATACAATTCATATAAAAAATCTCAAACGATGCGTTGCCAGATCTTTCCCGCAAAACGATCATTTTCAATTCAATAATATCGACTTTTTCATTCATTGAAAGAAATTCAATACATAATGCTTGTGCATCTTTATTACGTAGGATTTCATAGTAATACACTAGCAAAAGGATTTCGAAGTCCATATTTCGATTTTTGGTATTCTTTGTAATTTCTTTATGAGAATGCAATTGATTTAATACCATTTGAAAGAACATTAACAATATGTATTGAATATTAGATCAAGTATAACGAACTTCAACTAATTTCCAATCGGATAAAGGTAACTAAACTCCTTTCGCCGATCCGATTTGCTCCATATTTAAAATATAGCTTGCATATGTAGAAGAAAAGCTAATTTTGAAGTACGCCCGAAATCCACCAACAGGATTTCGAGCTACTAAAAAGGTACTTTTAAATGTGATTTTTTTTATAAAAAATTAAATTTATTTTAAGATCAGACTAAAAACTAATTTTATGGAAAATCTATATCGACAAATTTATTACTTATTGGGTATATAGATTTTTTGATTATGGTGATTATGTCTGATATGCTTCCAATAAGCCAAAACACATTTCATACTGATTTCTATAAAAGGTATCTTTATTATAGAAGTGTAAGCTATATCTGTTTGTTTTTTTATTATAACAAATTCAAAATTCTCTTATAAGGACTAGATGAAATCTGTATTATTAAATCATTAGCTAAATGAAGGTTCAAATAGAAAGTAAATATCAATTTATATGATACTGAAACCAAATAGTTCTTTTAATAAAAGATAACACGCTGAAAATTATTGAGTATTTGCAAATCTCAAAAATCTATTGGTGAATTTGGCTCAACTTTTAAAATTATAACATCCATATCAAATCATAAAAGCAGACAAAAATTAAAGCCAAACCTATCGGCCAATTTTTTTTGATATTTTGATTTTTGAGGTATACTTTTAAAAGTGGATTTAAAGCACTGATGAAAAAACATTAACTTCTGGCGTTATGATTATTGATTTAGACAATAATGATTTTAATCTTTGATTATCAAAACACTAAAGTCATCTTTTTAACATTTGCTTGGTAGCATTAACTCAAGTCTAAAGTACTATTTTATGTGGCACTCTTAGAATTTTTGTATTCATTGTACACGCTGAAATAGTACCATTAAAGATATGGCGGACTTTCAAAAAATAGTTTGGTCACCTTTATTCATTTTGAAATATAATCACACGATACATCAAGGTTCCAGGTTCAACACTCGGATTTTTAGGACCAAGCGAAGAAAATTTCAGAATTAATTGTTGGGGCAAGGTTACTGTTTCTCAGTTTTTCTCCAACTTCTATATGGTGTCTCCAGGATTTACAGCATTAACAGGATGTTTTGCTTACGCATCGAACTTGAAAAGACCTCAAAAAATGATTCCTCGTGGATTATGGTGGTCGTTTGGAGTTTACGTCCTTCTTTGGCATGTTACAATTATTCTCATTGCATTATGTAGTGAAAGGCAGTTCCTTATTGATAATATTGTTGCACCTTTAGTCTCATTTAATGTAAATCGTTGGATTTGTTTAGTCACTTTCATTGTTTTCGGTTTATACAACTCCATGAGCTCCGTTAACTCAGAAGTTGGCTATCTAGTTGACTTAGCAGCTGATGAATTGATTCCTCCGATCAAATGGCATTATAATTATTGGTTCCCACTTGCTATTACAGCAATTTTCGTTGCAATAGGTAATTTGGACTTCACAGCTAATATCAATACCATTTTCTTCCTTCAAATCTCTTTTGTCATGAATATGTGTGTATTCATTGCATCAATGTTACATATTCCAGGCTAGAGACCTAAATCTAAGTATTGAAATCCATGGTTTAGTCTCTTTGGTGCCATTTTAACTGTTGCAATGCAGTTTATGATGGATTACCAAGCATCTATAATCAATTGGATTTTATTCATTATTATTTATCTTTGGTCGTATTATAAAGGACCAAATGGAAAGAATTGGGGCTCTGTCCTCCAAGCACGTGCCTTCTATCAAGCATACAAACACGCATTGACAACACAGAGAATCAATTTGAACCCTAAATTGTTCAGAATGAACATGTTGTTGATTGTCGATGAAAATGAAAAATTTGAAGAGAATTCGATACCTTTTATTGATCAATGCTTAGGAAAAGAAGGTTTCGTTATTGTATCTCAATGGTTTAAAGAAGACAATGATCTACAAGTAGCTATCGATCATCGTAACCAATATCAAAACTATTTCGCTGAAAAACACAACATTTTCTACGAAACAGTTATTGCTTCGAATCTTTTGGATGCTTTAAGTAATATGTTGTTAAATAGTGGTGTTGGAGCGTTTAGACCTAATACTGTTTTCATCGATATCGATGGTAAATCAAATGATGATGTAAGAGCTATTGTTTTGGATGTAATGGAAGCGAAATTTGGTTGGTTTTTGGTATCAAAACCACAAGATTTGAATTTGAATGGAAGTTCTGTTGATGTTTATTGGCTTTGTGACGATGGAGGATTGACTTTGTTGGCAGGCTATATCATCTCAAAGTACTTGAAGAAGAGACTGAGAGTTATAAACGTTGCTTACACTTCAAATGGAGATACAGTTCAAGCTGCTGAATTGAGAATGAGCAAGTTATGTGAGAAGTTTAGAATCAAAGCGGAAATCATTTCTATGGAGTTGTCTGAAAAGAAACAATCTCCTTCTCCAATAATTCAGAGTTTCTGGGAACAATTAACTCATAAAAACGCAAATGAAGGATTTGTAAAGTTCCTTCTCTTCTCAGATATCGTTAGAGAGTTGTCAAGTAATGCAGCAATTGTTGTTTCAACTCTGTTTGTTCCAACGGATGACATGGACGGAGATACTTACGACGCAATTTTGAAGACTATAGCAAATGCTCCTCCTGCATTTGCCTTTGTTAGAGGAAACGGCTCAAGTGTTCTTTCTTGGAAAGCTTAATTTTAATTTGTAAAATAAAAATATATCCTTTACTTTCAAAATTTTAGATAAATTTTTTAATTTTTCCAAAATTTACCTCAAAAGCATATTAACATCAACATATACCTAATAGAAATAGTATTGTTTCATTGTCATATGTTGCTTTTAAAGAAATAAATTTTCAATATTAAGATATTTCCCTCCAATGATATGATATAATACAATAATTAGTCATATTTAGTTCATATTATGAAGATATGCGTCATATATGAAAAATCAGGTTAAAATTTACAATAATAATATTTACAATACATACAATTTATTGAAAATATAGGGTATTAAGGAAGGAATCCTTAGCTATGATAAAGTTGTACATCGAAACATCATTTATCTTAGCGATTCAATGATATATGATATGACAGTTCAATTTTTGATTTCTTTTGTATAATAAGTAATCGAAGATATGCGTAGAATGAGTACAACATATAGTTATACCCAACAAATGTGTAAAACCATACATTTTTGAGGATAAATTTGAAATAAAGAAAACTTGACAACAAAATATAAATAACAAGGTTAGCGTGATCTTGGAGATGTCTCACTGAATTTCTTCTTTCTTTCATTGAACTTGACTACTTCTGCTGTAACAACGTCTGTAAATTGAACAACAGATTCTGGGTCACCATCTTTGATAACAATAGTGTCGATATCAGTTGCACTTATATGTGATTTGAATTCCGATACTTCAAGCTCGTTGCTGCAGATTAAAACAACATACAACTGACCTTTCTGCGTAACTTGCTTTGCAAGCCAGTTTAGCGTTTTAATATTAAGTAGCATCATCGGACGTTCTCTAATATCTGCTAAAAATATGGACATGGCACATTCAGCACTTTTGCTCGTTAATTCTTTTCCCCAGCCTTTTCTCACTGCTCTTGCGTTAGGCACATCTATAAACCTTGCATTAAGATTAATACTTGATGATGCGGTCGCAGAAGCTTCTGAACCCATTACACCTTGAGAAACTAGTTTCGTTAGTGTGAGTTTAACATTTCCTGGTAGATAAAACAGTTTAATAGGGGCTTTAGCTGTAGAAATCCTTGCGTTTGCAACTTGCTTTGGCTCAGAACTTGTACTGCTTGAACAACCCATTTTTGAATAAAAAAATTTGAAATTTCAATATCCCTTGAAAACTTCTAAAATTTTGAAAACTGCGTGTTGAAATTTTGAACTAAAAACCGATTCTGTGATAGGATGATTTATTATACTATATAAATAGACAACATTTGATAAGATATAATATTCCATACAAAAACAATTCCCTCAGAAATAAAAAATGTTTATTAGCACCCCAAATTTGTAGAATCAGAATTAGATATGTCAAAGGAGATTATCATTAATTATGGTCAGCTATTTATAAATTGCGCTTTTCTTCTTTAAAGATGATCTTTATAAGAATTTTGGCCTTTGCAAATCAATGTGTACTAAATACAGAATTGGTTCAAGCATTTATTTATTGGATTTGATCAAAAATTATAATTCATTTTGCATTTTTATCGTGTATAATGGACATAAATGCAGAAAATACTCACAACAATACTATGTTAACAAAATTACTCTATTAATTATCTGAAATAATGCATCATGATATATATTTCATAAAAAAAACAGTAAAGTATGAATTTTATAAATGATATCAATCTTAGATGCACAAGATTTTTTGAAAAAGGTACTGTTCATTCATTATCGCGCCATAAATCAGATATCTTTTGATATCTGAATTTAATTTCGGTGCAAAACATTTTTCAATTGCAATTTTCTTAGTTCATTTCATAACTCTGTAGATGAGCTTGATCCCTGGAGAGATGATTCCGATTAATCTCGTGATTTCTTATGTCCTAACTGATATTTTTCGGATCTCTTTCAATTTTTGAATGATTGATTCTATCTGATAAACAAAGATTATTGAGGATGACATACTCATGATCCAAACAATCCGATAAAAAATGTCCGATGAAAGAAAAGATGTGAAATCGACACAGTCTTACCGTCATTTTGCATTTCTTTTATTTGATTTTGATTCAGATACGGACAAGAAAAACAGAAAACGCAAGTTCTATAAAATAGAATTTTTTTTATGAGAAAATAGATTTTAGAAATTTATGCCCTTCAACGTAATTGTCAGATACACCGAGACAAAGAATTTCCTCGTAGTATCTAAGGTCCCAAGCAAGTACACTGTTGGACAGTTTCAGGATCACCTTTTGAAGCTTTCTATTCTCACATCGGATATTTCTAACTACAAAATCACTCATTCCGGAATATCATTAGATCCCATTACCCTAATACAGGACCTTAAGACTGACGATTCATCAAATATATTCGTTTTCGCAGAAGGTGTTCGACCAATAGACGATTGCGCAATAACATTTGGTGGATTTGGTTATGAACTCAAACCAGTGCATGAAAATCCGCCATCTACTACAGATGAACAAAGCATTCCATCCATTGAACCCAATATTAGTGCTGAAAACGCTCAGCCAAATTTACCGGTTGAACCACAGAACACACAGTTATACGGCAAAACAGATCCAAACTTCAATTCATATGAAGTCGAAAACATAATGGATACACCTACTCCTTTAGATATTCGACAAAGATTTTTGATCAACGTTATCATCATATTGACCGTTCTTATTGGCATAAGCTTTATGATTGCCAACTTCCTAAGCGAGAAACTCAATATAGCCCAAGATCTTACACAAGCAAATTTAATTGAGTGGGTAATTTTGTTATTCGCTTTACTCTACTTTGCTTACCGCTACTTTGTCAAACCACTTTTCAACCATTCACATTAAGGGAAAATCAAAAACAAACTCATTGACCAAATTCTTTTCAATTTTTACAACCTTAATGATAGAATGAATCAAGAAGCTAAGAAACAAGAACAAAAAAAAAAAAAAAAAAAAAAAAAAAAAAAAAGGTAGTGGGGCTTCCAGGCACTTCGTGCCCTCTAGCCCTGAAGATGTTTAGTATAAATGAAGTTTTTATTCGGAGGGCTTCCAGGAGCTTTTCACAAATTATATATGTTTTCATGTTTTGTCACTTTTCTGTCACTTTTCAGGTAAAAACATTTTTATTATATATATAAAATGAATTTTACAAAACCACCGTTACCCTTCTTTGGAAATAAGAGTAGATGTAAAGATATTCTATTGAGAGAACTTAAGAAACTACCGAATGGTCTAACATTTGTAGACTTGTTCGGTGGAAGTTTCTATATATCTCATTTGTGCCATACAATATTTCCTGACTCAAAGATTATATGCAATGACTTCGACAACTATATGGACCGTCTCAAACATATTCCAGACACAAACAATATATTGAAAGCGTTAAAAGAAAAGATACCTATAGGTAAGATGGAACGTATACCATTAGATAAGAAAAATACTGTCAGAGAGGTTTTGAAAAAGGCAGAGTATATTGACTGGGATAGTATATCTGCTAGACTATTATATAGTGGTGCTATAAGAGTTCATGACATTGAAACACTTATGTCAAAAGTTTTATATCTTAACTATACAAATGTTTTCAAAGAGAACATAGAAAAATATATTGAGGGTATAGAGTTTGTGAGATGTCATTGGACAGAGTTGTATGAAAAATATAAAGACAAGGAAAATGTTTTCTTTATAGTGGACCCGCCGTTCTATAACACATGGGATTTTCAATACCAAGTAGACTGGACTTTGAGAGACTCTTTAGAAACTTTAGACGTTTTACATAACCATCCATGCTTTTACTTTACATCCGATAAAAGTGGTTTGGAAAGTGTCATGAGATGGTTAGAGGACATACATGACTATGAGTTTAGATACGATAAGATAGAATATGAGAGAGGTCCTATAAACTGGAGAAAGTGTCATAACAAAGAAATTTTACTAGTAAGTAAATGTGGTTTGAAATAGGACTACTTGTTTTAGGTTTTTTCCATTGTGTCATTTATTTATTTGACGTGGCAGAAAGATATAGAGAATATGAAGATGAACCAATGCCTGCAAATGTTCAGTATATGTACTCGTAAGAGATATTTTTATCTAATATTAAATGGACGCACAGAACTTAGCGAATGCACAGCAACCTGGACAACCAAACCCAGAGAATATTCCAAATGAAGTTAGAATACAAACTGCAATGGCAAACTATGGTCAAGTGCCAACAGATGTACAAATGCAAACTGCCATGTCAAATGACGCTGCGTTAGGTTTGCCACCATGGTATGCAAATATGAGATGGAAAGAGTTTTATACAAACCCTGAAGTGGGATATAAACAACTTTATGCAGATGACGCGAACACAGGAGTTGACCCAGAATATGTTTTCTACCAGAGGAGAAACAGAATGTATGAGCTCCAGTTAAAGAATGCTATGGAACTCAACAGGAAACGTAAGAGACTAGGCGGACATTAGATTTTTACATATAGTAAAATGGGTTTCTTCAGTAAGATAGGAAACTTCTTTCGAAATGTTGGAAGAGGTATATGGAATGGAATAAAAACCGTAGGAAGAGGAATTTGGAACGGTGTCAAAAATATTGGTAAAAGAGTAGGTCAGTTCGTTGGTATTATACCTAAAGACCCTGAACCAGAAGAACAAGCTCCTGTTATACAACAGCCTGAACCTGCACCACAGTCTAGTTGGCAACCAAATCCAACACCTCAACCGTATTAAAATTATATTTTTACCGTTCGATAGTAGTTGTATATGAAACTAAGTTCTAAGTAAAACGCGTGGTATAATGGAATTATTCTCTTTCTTCCATCTGTAGTAAACCATACTTGAAAGTCTGAAATACTTCCACTCGGTGGTTCATATAGCTTTGTAGGTTTTTCGTAAAAGTCATTTGCCAAGCATAAAAAAGAGTTTTGTGCGCCAGAAAATGAAGCATGAACTATAATAGCATCTGAGTCGAAAACATCTTTAAATAAATATGGTTCATCTCTTGCATATCGACTGTAAATATTTGCTAAAGGAAGTTTGACTTTCTGATTTAACATTCTTTGCAAATAATACCATGACATTGCAGTGAATTCTGTATATATTTGTTCGTCTTTCTTTGGATTGTCTTCATAGATTTGAAATGACACTTGTGAATTTTGTTTGTCATATACAATTCTCACATAAAGTGTGCTCTCGGTATTTGCATATTCATCAGCATATTTTGCATAACATGAATTTATTTTATCTTCTATATTTTTTAACGCAGTCTGTAGAGAAGATGAAAGGTCAACTTGTATTAGCTCAATTTCTTCCCACATTTTTCGTTTCCCTTCAGATATATAATCTATATGAAACCTTACAATAAATGGAAAACTTTTATCTTCTACAGACACAAACTTCATTCTACGAAAGCCAATAGCTTTTGTGACAGATGGGTCTCTTAGCCATCTTAATGGGTAGTCAAAACGATAGCCTTCATGCTTTACGGTCTCTGTCTCAAACTTTTGACCTACGTTAGTAAAAAGTTCATCTAATGGTTTAGTTGTAGCAACTCTTGAATTTTCTTTTTCTATTGGAAGCATATTTTATCTAGAATAAAAATGTCAAATGAAACAGCGTCTATGAGAGAAATACAACACAACCGACAACTCATTATGCAAGCTCTAAATAAGAACACAACAAACTTTTCAAACTATTCTAAGATATCTGAGTCATTGAAAGAAGGAAACTTAAAACTGACGATAAACCCAATGACAGATGAGTTTCTGTTTCAAGACAGTAAGAACCATACTGTCTGTATAAATCCAACAAAAGGAACTTTAAACGAGAAACCTATAGATGAACTTCTTTTGAAAGCAGATGTTAACAACAAAGCTGACAAAGAGTATGTCATTGAAAAAGTTCAAGAAGAACATGACAGAGCAGATGCAACATATGCAACAAAAGCAGATGTTAACAACAAAGCTGACAAAGAGTATGTCATTGAAAAAGTTCAAGAAGAACATGACAGAGCAGATGCAACATATGCAACAAAAGAACATACTCATCCTGAACTAGCAGACAAAACATATGTTGACAATAAAATGTCAAGTGAAGTGACAAGAGCTGAAAACGAATATTCTAAAAAGACTCATACACATACCATTGCAAATATTACAAACTTACAAGAAACCTTAAACAGGAAAAGTGACGTTGGACATACACATACCATTGCAAATATTACAAACTTACAAGAAACCTTAAACAGGAAAAGTGACGTTGGACATACACATACCATTGCAAATATTACAAACTTACAAGAAACCTTAAACAGGAAAAGTGACGTTGGACATACACATACCATTGCAAATATTACAAACTTACAAGAAACCTTAAACAGGAAAAGTGACGTTGGACATACACATACATCTTCTGAAATAACAGACTTAAACGTTAGCCTTGAAAAGAAGGCAGATAAGAACCATACACACGATTTCTTCGCAACTGTTGGTATAGAAAATATTGAAGGAACGGTTGAAGAAACTGGGGATGTATTAAATTGGAAACCTCCTAACTTTCCACAAGGTTTAACATCGGAGGATGACATAACAACGATGAAAGACATTAAATGTAGAAATGTCTATGTCATGGAGGATGAAAACAAAGTTAAATTCACTGCTCAAGATTTATATGATAAAAAAGCTGACAAAACAGAGCTTCAAACATTAAAGACAGAAATACTTCAAACACTATATCCTATAGGTTCTATTTACACGTCAATGAACTCTACCAAACCAGAAACAGTTCTGGGTTTTGGAACTTGGACTCAAATAGTCGACAGGTTTTTGTATTGTGCAAACTCTTCAAAGGAAACAGGTGGAAGTAAAACGATTTCAGGTGCAAATTTACCTGCGCACAGTCACTACGTAAATTTAAGTACATCTGAAGCAGGTTTGCATAGTCATAGATTTTGGGATTGGTCAGCAATGACAAAAGGTAAAGGATATGATGTTAAAGAGGACGTTAAGTTTGCTATAAATTGTTACTGGGATAACACTGATGTAGGAGGAATCCATTCACATCGCGTTTCAGGGTATACGCAAACAACAGGACAAAGTAAAGACTACATGCCACCTTACATGACAGTTTACGCATGGTATAGAATTGCTTAGTCGTCATTTTCAACTTCTTTAGCATATTCGTCAGGAGTTGTCTTATATTTGTTAGGAACTGTCTTTGAAAGTATACCACCTTGAACCTTAACAAGTTTGAAACGAGGTCTGACAATAGTAGTTTTATCTTCTGCTTGCAGTCTGTACATTTTGCCATGTTTGCCTAAAACTTCATAATATTCTCTTGTATACTTTCTTCTATTTTTACGAACACGAATGTGAGTACCTGTCGAGTTCCCATTGTTGTCATAGTCAATAGTATTTTCATATGGGTCGCGTTTAGGTATTTCTATTTTTACTTTGTCACCTTTCTGAAGTTTGAAGCCTGGCATTCTTTCTTGTTTGTCTCTTTTGACTAAACTATTAAATATATAGTCTTTCTCTAAGTCGGGGTTGTTTTTCATTCTTCGGGGGAGTGGTTTCCCAAACCTTTTTGTTTACGGCTATTGTAAATATTTAAAACTTGTCTCATCTTTGCCATGGAGAAGTGTCTATATTTGTCGTCATATGACATTTCATCTACCTCACCACTTTGTGGTTGGTTTAAGTCTCTTAAGATTTTTATACAACTGTCAATGACACCAAGAGCAGAATGGTTTTGGTCGACAATGAAATATTGGTTTACATTTTTTGAACGCAGATAGTTTTTAATATCGTCTGATTTGAAAGAACTTTCACAGTCAGATGTCAGTTTTGTTGGATGGTATTTGTCAACGAATATTGTCAAAGCAGTTTTCACATCTAAAATATTTTTGGACTGTAATGGTATGGCTTCACAGTATCTTGTGTTTTGACCGACAAATATTAGCCAGTATGGAGGTCCATCTTCTCTATACCTCGGAATGTTTTCCAAGATATCCATAAACCAAGCATTTGGTGTTGAACTAAAGATTTTTATCATGAGTGCTTTCTTTGTCGCTTTAGAAACATAGGGTCCTTGTTTGGATTCGTCATTTTTTAACCCATAAGAAATGGGTTTATTTGGCGCATTAGCAGGAGTTGCATCCAGATTTTTGCCCGCAGTGGGAACAATAGCCAGAGGTGTATTTGGAGTTGGAAGGAAGATTTTGAGTACATTAGGTATACTTAAAGAGAAAGCACAACCTATTATACAAACTGTACAGAAAGGTTGGGAGGTAGCACGAGATGCAACAAATCTTATTCCAAATCCTGAAACAAGAGGAAAAGTTCAAGGATGGATGGACAATGTAGGAAGAGAAGCAGGAAACTACTATAACAAAGCAAATGACTACTATAACCAAGCAGGGCACTATATGGACCAAGGTGAAAGATTCTTTAACAGAGGATATAACCATGCACAACAATGGGTAAACAACAACCAACCGCAACCACCTCAAACGTGGGGAATGTAAATTTTTTTACTGAGATGAAATGAACAATACAGCATTGAGACAAATGGGTTCAAGATGGATTTGTCGACTTCCAGCAGTTACACAACCACGTGTTTGTCAAGTTCTTCCTATACCTCAGGAAGTTTTAGACCGACTTAAAAAACCTAAACAACCAGTTGAAAACAAAACAAACTAAAATTTTTTACTGAGATGAAATGACCGAAGAAGTTGAAACGGTAGATTTGACACCACAAACAAAAAGTTCAGAACCATTGTCAAAACCTGTCAAAGAACTTACAGATGAAGAGAAAAATTCAATAATAGAAAGTGCCAGGTCTGGAAATACAAACCCTAACTATAAAGTCACTTTTCATAGAAATGGAACGGCTAGTATCTCAAAAAAGAAACAGACTCTCACAAATAAAATATTGAAGTCTGAAGGAGCTTTCGAGACAACAGATGGGAAGGTATTCTTCACTGACCAACAGTTCATTATAGAACATCTCATTGACTTAGAGTCAAAATATTCTAAACTTTACAACAAACACAAAAAGTTGAAAGGAAAACAAAAACAAATGGCATATGATATTTATGAAGATGTTGACGACACAACCATACCTGCAAGTGAAGTAAAGTCAGAGGAACCGAAAAGTGACGAAAAACCAATAGAAGAAGGTGAGCCAAAAACTGAAGATAAACCAAAACCAAAGTTTAGTCTCCAGACTAAACCAAGTCAACCTTCATTAGCTGGTATGGGTTGGCGTCAAAGACTTATGGCAGCAGGCGGTTACGTAAAGTAAAGAAAAAACATTTTTTTATTTTTATAAAAATGCCCCCATATAGAATGGATAGAAAGTCTGCTAGAATAAAAGCAGAGTTAGAAAGATATGGTTGGAGAGTTTCAAAGAAGTTTAAATATAGGAAGGGAAGACCCATAAAAGTCTATGACAAATTGTCTGGTCTTCGCTACGAAATGGACTTAGAAACAGCACGCGCAAATTATCCAAACAGATTAGAGAGGTTAGAAGAAGAACGTCTTATGGACATGCCTTTCGATGTTAGTGAACCTCAAGTTGAAGGACACGACGGCTTTGCCAGATTCTACTGGAAACATGACGAACAATTGCATCCTTTGAGAAGGAAAAAAGGAAAAGGTGAAGACAAACATGCTCCCATGGAAAGAACAAGATATGCATATGAAAAGTACCGTGAAGTTAGAAGTCAAATTACATCTGGTCGAACCTTTACAGTAAACTTTGACGAAGGAAAGAACAAAGAAGGCTTCATGGGTGTACTTGCTGCCATTCAAGACGGAAATAAGAAAGGATACAATCTCAGACTAACCGTAACAGATTTAGATGGTCATATTTACTATGCACATGGCAATGTCACAACAGCCGCACAACTTCTTGACGCTTTCAAGACTACAAAGAGAGAACAAATGGTTGACTCCGACTCAGACATTTTGAATGCAATTGAAGGAATTGCAAGTGTCAAGTTCGAATGGTACCAACCTAACCCTCAAGCAGTCAGACAACATGCTGGATACTTCCCCTTCAGAAATAAGTCTGACATTGACTTGACAAGGTATGGAATTTACAATTCAATTGAAACAATTGTCAATGAACCTTGTATTCTTACATGTCTCAGGAACTCTGGTCTTGTTACAGATGAGAAGATGAAGTATCTTGAGTCATGTGTGAAAACAAGGTACATGCTCAGAGGTCAATTGTCAAAAATTGCACCGTTGGCAAATGTGAATATCCGAGTCAACATTCCGACTGAGAAAGGTTCTTCACATGACGACTATGTTGTTGACAAAGACTTACCATGGTTGAAGATTGTAATTGTCCACAACCACTTCATGTTGAACGAAAGTCTTACAAACCCATTGTTCGGAAAAGGCAAGTGCAACATTGTCAGAGCTGTAAACATTCTTTTCGAGAAAGGTTTGTTGGAACCAATTCCAGATGACAAGCTGACAGAAACTTTTGTACCAAAAGACGAAACAAACTTTTCATTGTTAGCAAGACCAAAAGTTGTTCCAGACAAAGTTATAGCACAAAAGAAGTACACTGTTCCAAAAGGAGTTGGATTGTTCGGATACCAACCTGAACCAGAAGAACTTCCAATGAGGTTGCAAGAACTTCAAGATGCTATAAACAAACTTCCATTGAGACATCCAATTGACGTCAAATTGTATTGGAGAGCATCTGAGTTAGGTCAGAAGGTTTTATATGAAACAGGTTGCTTCGACGATGTTTATGAGATAGCAGGCGAAGTTTCTCAGAAGATAAGAGACTCACTTGAATTTCCACGAACTGGACCCATTGGTTGCGACAAGTTCGACTCAAACGAAAAGATATACTATGTCGACCTTAACGCTGCATACATGAGGTTCGTCCAATATATCCCGACTGGAATTCCAAACGAAGACGGTGAGTTCCCAGGAAGGAACTATACAGTTGGAAAAGTCATACAACAACTGTATGATATTAGGAAAGCTTCAAACCCCAAACTTGCAATGACACTCAAATTGCTTATGAATTCGACATGGGGATATTCCATTAAAAAACCTCAAAAGATGAAGAGTAAACACTATGAGAAGGTCGACAACTTTGTTGAAAGGTTCTCCCCTTTTGTTTTGAAATACGAATTTACTCAAGGTCAAGGTGGCTTAGTAACCACAGTAAAACCTATTGTCGAACATTGGTCTTATCCTCAGTTCGCAAAAGCAGTCCTTGACAACTACAATGAGTTCTTCTCCGAGGTCAAATCGAAAGTTGTGGTATACTACGAGAACATCGATGCACTCATGACGAACGAAGAAGGGTATAACAAACTCATTGAAATGGGAATGGTCGGTGAAAAGATGGGTCAATTCAAATTGGACAAAATTTTCACCGAAGTTCATGTCCTCTCCAAGCGTAAGTACTGGGGCATACTTGAAGACGGCACAGAAATAAAACATTGCATGAAATAAAAAATTTTTATTCGAATTTGAATCGGACAGGTCGAGTTACACCATTCTTGGTCTCAAACTCATATATAACCTGTTTGTTTGTATTTTCGTCGACTATGGCACGAGACACAAACATTGACCAAACGTACAAAAAGTGTCATTTCGGATGGTCCCGCAGCCAATCGCATTCGAGCACTTCGAAGAAGCCTTACGTTCCAAGGGAGAGGGTGTCTGGTGCAAGGCAGAGGTCATGAGACTCTACGAGCAGTACATCCTCAATGCCTGGGAGGACAAATCGTCCTTGGAATGGCAATTCTACCAACTCCTCTGGGACGACCTCCTACGCAACTGGGATGACGAAAGAGTCCAATTCAGAGGTCAGGAACTACTTGTCCAAATTATCCTTAATTTAAGCCGCTTACGCAACTAAAAACTTAAATTTACTCGGGGTTTCCCCCTAAAATAAAATTTTTTTACTCTTAGAACCACTCGAGGTTCTCCTTACGGTTGTTGAGCTTGTCACCGTCAATGTGTCTGACCTTCGTCTTCTTGTTTGGATTTGGAACCCATTGAATTGCGACAAGCTTGCCCATGGAGATTGAACCGCGATTCCGAAGGGTAAGGTTCAAGTGTCCCAAGTTGTTGAGGACTGGGGTAAGAACCTTGCCTGTCTCCTTGTTGCGGATTTGGTATGGGTAGGGTTGGGAAATTTCGTAAGTGTCATCGGCAACAAGGGTTGCCCAAACTTCCTCTTCTTCGTGTTTCTCTTCTTCCTCTTCTTCCTCTTCCTCTTCTTCGTGTTTCTCTTCTTCCTCGACAATTCCTTCTTCAATTCTGTGTTCACGAATTACGGTGTTGGAGGTTCTGTCCTTTCCGAGTACCTTCCAGATGGCGTCTATCTCTTCGAAGAAACGGTAGATGAGTCTGGCAAGGTCTCGGTTCTCTCTCGCGTAAATGCGCAAGGTTTCCGTCAAATCATTCAGGCATTTCTCATTGGAAGCTTGGTTCATGAGGACATCGGCTTTGAGCTTGGTCATCTCTTCCATAAGACTACTTTGGAGAGTCTTAACGGTGTTTGTCAGATGAGCTTTCAAATTCAAAATTTGAATTTGAACTGGGCGCTTGTCTGGCAACATTGAAAGGACATCTGCCATTGTGTTCGGCTTCGGTGCTTGTTCGGACATCGAAAAAATGAAGTGGTTTGAGAATGACGGTTTTACTTCAAAAAGCTTGTTATGACGGTTAAGTCATACAACAAGTTTAAAATAATATCTTGTTCTTCTTCTGAACGTTTGTTGTCTCTTCCGATAAAAGTTTCGAACATGAGAACCAAAAAACGTTTTTTGAGATTGCGGAAGAGTTCAGGCAAACGTTCATATTCTGGATATGTTGGGAGCAGTTCAAAACATCTGAGCTGACTTTCGGACAAAATTGGGACAATGTCAGAAAATTCATCTTTGGTCGGATTGCTTGAAGGTAAGTCCCTTACATGTAAGTAGCTCTGGTAAAGTCTTCTCATTTCTGCTAACTTTTGGAGTATAGCTTCGTAGTTTAGAAGTTTTAATTTTAATTGTCTTATTCCACTCTTGACATCTAAACGGTAACTATCCATGAGGTCAAGAGTAGCTTTGGTAGCTTTAAGTGGAGCTATCTGTTCCTTGACTCCTGCAATTTTGGTTGCAATTGTGGTTTGAGCTCCTTCAAGTTCGCCGTCTATGTCGTTCTCAACGCCTTCAACCATGGCTTGAAACTCTTCATCGGTCCATTGAGATTGGTGTGGGACGAATTTAACTTGCTTCATTCAAAAAATGAAAAAAAATGTTTTTACTCAAAACGTTAAGGTTGACTGAACTGGTTGGATGTCGCCTTCACAGGTTATGTAGAACGGCTGACCCGAGAAGTGAAGGAGAGACTGAATTGCCAATTTCATATGGGGTAGGGGGTTCTCCTTGTTTGGTATTTTTATCCAAGGACGTTTGTTTAGGAACTTAACAAGAGCTTCTCTTTTGGCGTCCTTTATGTCGTCGTAGGCTGTCCCGTCTGGTATTGAATTGGAATTCCAGTCGAAGTCTCGAGCTGAAGTGTAGACCTTCCAGAAATACTGGTGAACTTGACCTTGGGCTTCATTACCCTGCGCAAGTACTGCTTAACAACTTCATTTATCTCTATAAGGTAAATTGCCTCGTCAAATCCTTCTGGCATTCCGAGTCCTTCCATCCGACAGGAAAATATTTTCCCGACAACTGGAAAAAATTTTCCCGACAACTGGAAAAAATTTTCCCGACGACAGGAAGAACTCTTCCAGTTGTCCGTCCGTAACCATTCAAATTTTCGAAAATTGAGAACTTTTGGTCGAACTTCAGAAAAAGTTTTTCCTTCCGACAGGAAAGGTTTTTCCTTCCGACAGGAAAGGTTTTTCCTTCCGACAGGAAAGGTTTTTCCTTCCGACAGGAAAGGTTTTTCCTTCCGACGGTTAAGCCACAAACAGATGTCCGACGTCCCACCAACCGAGCCCATATCCCAACCAGAAGAACCGAAAGCTGCAGAACCACAACAGTCTCCTCAGCAACCTCAGTTCCAGCAAGTACCTCCGATTTACTACCAATTTCCACCTCAATGTTACTACCCTCCTCAAGGCTTCCCGAACTACCCTCCTCCTCAGCCTATGCCTTACTTCCCCAACCCTTGGTTGTTCCAGCAAGCTCCACCCCAGCAATTCCAATCTCAATCTCAATCGAAGAGAGACCAAGACTTCGAAGAAGGTCTGAACCGTTTACGCAAAGATTATGCCACAGCCCCTATGGAAGACGACAGGCTTTCAGTCTCTTCCCTCAAATCGACCGATTCGACTCGTACCACAGATTCGGTTCGTGACCGTGAAGACTACCTCAAGCAGTCTGAGAGACTCTTCATCCTACAACCATTTACAGTTGGAGCTCTCAAGAACATGCGCAATTACGAAGGTCAGACACCAGCTGGAGACCGTAAAACAGACGTACTCGCAAGAGCAGTCCAACTGGTCAAGACAAAGACTGAGATAGTCGACTTCATTCTTGCAGCTTGCCCATACAAGTAAAAAAATAAACAATTACGAGTTAAACTTTTTACTCTTTCTTTTCTGAGTTGTTTAGAGCTGGTTTCTCTTGTAGGAACCTTTCGTACTCTTCCATGGTCATGTAATTGCGAATTTGGTACGCAATTCCAGGTTCGTTGTTTTTGAACCTTACGTATGTAACGCTTCCATCTTCCTCAGGGAAGTAAGCTGCTAACATCTGACCAAGTTTTCTCGGTGACTCGGAGCTCATTAAAAATGTCACTTTTTAAACGTTAAGTTTTTAGTCTTATTTTACCCTTTGTTTACCCTTTGTTTGTCAAGGTAGTATTGGAGTGCAATTTCTCCAAATTCTCTGTGTCGGAGTTCTTCAGCATTTTCCAAGGTGTACCTGGAGAACTCAAAGAAGTTGTCAAGAACATACTGCCATGCTGCTCTTCTGAGTTCGTCGGTATTTTGGAAGTGTTGCACCTTCGAGTCTTCGGACATGAAAAAATGACACTTTTTCAGCAAAAATAATTTTAGGTGAAGAGGTGAGATTTCACCTCTTTTTTCACCTGTTTTTTCACCTCATGAATTTTCATGAATTTCATTCGTAAATGTTTTGTCGAAACTTCATCGTAATGAGCGTAAATGACAAAAATATATTTTAGGTGAAGAGGTGAGATTTCACCTCTTTTTTCACCTCTTTTTTCACCTCATGAATTTTCCCGAAATAAAAAATAAAGTTGGTTTTTTTAAAAAAATATTTTTTTATTTTTATTGTAAGAACATGTTAGCAACAACAGCACCAAACTCTTTAGTCATGAACCCAACTTCAATGTTAGTAGAGATGAAAAGCTTCATTCCTTCTTCATATACTTTCGAAACAAAATCCAGAAGATAAAGCAAGAACTTTTAACAAGTAATTTAGACTGTAGTGCGAAAGATGAAACAAATGAACAGTATCTTTATGAAATGCAGGATATTATTGACCATCTACCTAAACTTCCTGAAATACAACAACAAAAGCTTACTATTCCTGAATTCGATGAAATAGAAGTCAAAGCAACTGACTCAGTAGAAATAAAGAAGTTCATACGAAAGGTTAACTATGAGTTTCTTGGATTTCATTGCAACCACAAAGTCATGGACAAAGATTGCGATATGGTATATAAGAACATCTCTGACATATACAAATCTGGGAGTTTAAGACCTACGACAACTTTGTTTCGTTAGTTGCAAAATGTGTATGGCAGATAAGAGATAAAGATAGAAGAGGTAAAGATATGGAATGAACAAATAAGACCCGCAACTTTTGAGTTAAAGAGAGCAATTGACGCCTTAGTTGTTTTAGCAGGTAAGGTTTCAATGTACAATGCTAAAATGAACCCACAATGTTCAAAATGTAAAGCAGCAATGAGGAAATATAACTACTCCGTCAAAGAGATAGAACGTATGCGAAACGACTATGCTGACTTAAAGAAAGAAGCAGAGAAACCAGCAGAAGATAAAATGGACATGTTGACATTTCTGAACAAAAACTATCCAACTGCTGACGATTTCCTTCTATCTGACGTCAAGAAGAAGTATAAAGAAACTTTCGGTATCGTTAAAACATTCGATGTACTGACAGAAGAAATAGAAGCTACGAAATTGTTTAGGATTTCAAATATACATCATACAATTCATGTAAAACGCTTATAAAATAACAGGTGAAAAAAGAGGTGAAAAAAGAGGTGAAATCTCACCTCTTCACCTAAAATATATTTTTATTGAATTCAGCAACAAAATTCTGAGTAAATAATTTTAGGGCTTGTGTCAAACCGTTGAGTTTTCACAAAATTTAAAAAATAACGTTTACCATGTGAAACGCTTATAAAATAACTGAGGTGAAAAACAGGTGAAAAAAGAGGTGAAATCTCACCTCTTCACCTAAAATATATTTTTGTCTGAATTCCGTATGAAATTTCATGAATTTCCTCATATGCTTGCTTCCCTCGAAAAAACCGAGAGAAGAACAGCGAGTAGTGAAAAAACCCTGGTCGCCAAAACTCTTTATTTTTCAAGCTTGACTTTTTACAATTTGAACTTTGTTTGCGTAGATATGAATTCTGAAAGAAGTATGAGGGTCTTGTATGACTTTGTACTTCTCCCATAGTTCATGTCTGTCAAACTTACCTGCCATGGACTCTTTCATAAGTTCCATGAAATCGTCTTCGGACAATCCAGGGAAAAGTATGATATCAGTAAGTATTCTTTTAACATCCTTACTTAAACTCTTTGCTGTCTGTACACAAATGACAACTGAGATGTTAAAGTGTCTGAGCTTCTTAAGAATTCGACACATATCTTGTTCTCTGTTCTTTAACAAAGGATGAGAAGCAAAGTCATCTAAGATAAGAAGACATCTATGAGGGTAAGTCTTCCAATCGTACGATTGCAATTTCTTCGAAATGTATTCTATCTCTTTCTGTTTGTTTCTGAAGTGTTTCTTCTCTAATATTCTCTGCATTTCCTCATTTGGGTCTTTAAACTTAGAATTTATATACTCATTTATAGCATTGTACTTCAAAACTCTTCTTTGGTACTTCTTTATCCAATCTAACAACTCAGTATCCTTTATACATACTAACTTAGACTTTTTTATAATATCTTTGAACGAATTTACGGTTTGGTCGAATTGACCAGAAGTACTACAAATGACTACTAACTCATAGAATGGGTTCTTCTCATCTAGTTCTTGTTGTTGTGCAGCCATTTTAAGATAAGTGAAAGTCTTACCCGACCCAGGTGGTGCGATTAGACCTGTTATACCATTCTGAGCAAATAAGAACTTGTCATGTATGGGTTTTATCTGAGCATTTTCTAACTTCCTCTTGTTCTTGTTTAAAACATTCTCAAATTTCTTGTCAATGTCAGCAAACTTTTTTTCTAACATATTTTTAGAAAAATTAAAATTTTTATCTTTTTGAAAATGTCTAGCGATTTCGCTATCTATATTCGAGACAAGCTTTTCGACAGCAAAACATCTGTAGACCATAAAATCTTACATAGTGTAAACAAGAAAGGTGAATTTGTTCTAAAGTTCTGTTTCTGGGAATATGACAAGAACCATAAAACATTAGGCAGAGAAGTCTTTAAGTTTGTCAATGACAGACTTGTTGACAGAGATGACGCCGATTGGAAAGATGAAGTCCAACAAAAGTTCTTAGAATGCAAAGAAGGCACATGCGCTGTTCTTGAAGATGAAATAGAAAACAGAATAGAAGAGCTATTAAAGGACAAAGAACTTTTACATAAATATGGTTCTGAGAAGTTTGACATAACTCCACCAGAAAAGAAGAAGAAGAGAGAAAAGAAAGAAAAGAAAGAAAAGAAAGTAGAAGAGAAGAAAGAACCTGAACCAGTTCCAGAGAAGGTGAGATATGACATGTAAAAATAAAATTTTATTTTTAGAACATTTCTGGGTCAATGTCAATGTTCTCTTCCTCTTTAGGAGCAAACACTGGCTTAGACTCTAAAATCTTTTTACCCAATTACCTTGAACTTCAACTATCTTAGACTCATAATATTCATAGTCGTCTGCTTTCTTTGGT